ACTAGCTTCCCTGGCCTCACCTCAGCCTTACTCTCACCGGCTTCTGTTCCGTCCCCACCTTCCTGTTATCTTTTTGCGTTAGGGGTACCACGTCACCGTCAAGGAATGTTAGGCGAGCCCCACCCTTTTTTGCAGACGGAAACTAAGATCATGCCCTTGGGAACAGCCAGAAAAGATTAGAACCCCATCTTCCCACCCCAAGTCAAGCGTCGTCTAGCAGTGTTTACTTTAAAGCCTTGAATGTTCCCAGGAATCCCAGTTCTGGAGCTAGTTAATGGATGGTTTCAAGGCCAAGGGGGTTTGTCAAAGGTGCTTTCTCCCTTTTTTGGGAAGATTCACAATGCTCGTTAGCATATCAAAGGCTCTGAGAAGTCCCACACTGAAGAGGCCCCTGAGTAATGTAATTTACAGTGTTAAGTGCCTCTGGACTGGGATCAGCTTTTCCCATCTTAGGTTCCAAGTAGTCCTGACTCTCACTTATCAGCAGGGGGCCCAGCCCATTGGCTGTGGTCCGTTTGAAGAGGTGTGGCACTCCCTCTCTTCCCCAGGGAATTTCTACAGCAGAGAGAACCCACTACTCCCTGTGTAAAAGATAAGATAGTCAGTCACCCCTGCCAGGCCAATGGTAGCCTGGGGGACAGTGGATTTGAACATTCCTTTACGAAGGGAAACGCTACCCACTCCAGTATTCTGGCCTGAAGAATTCCATAGTCCGTGGGGTCACAAAGAGTTGGACACTACTGAGTGACTTTCACTTTCACTTTACGGTTTTCTGGGGAAATGACGCCAAGGTTATCCGGATGGTTTCCTGGTTTCCCAGTCAAAAGAAATATCACCCATGAGAGATGCTGACATTGACCATGAGCAACTGACAGCAGTGGGTCACGCCAAACAGAGAGCACTCTGGATCTGGGATGAACAGCTGGCCAGCTGTAAGGTAAGATGCTTCTTGGCTTTCTGGAGAGATCATAGACCTTTGAATAAAAAAGCTCGGAGACCCTTCCTTTTCTAAAAGCCAAAGGGTTTTTAGTCAGAGAGCAAGTTGAAGGGGTGTCAGTAATAACCACAATGTCCAGAGTTGTAACAATTCAACTTTTTTGCTAAATCCTCAGAAGTCAGCTCTTTGGAAAAGTTTTGACCCTCTCTGGATTAGAAACTAGGATAGAGGAGGTCAGAATATGTTTTTGTGAGCATGTTTGTAAAGCTTAGGTGGAGATGTTTTAGTTTTCTCCGTCATAGTGATGAAGATCTAAGTGGGGATGTGGAGTGCTTTTGTAAGTTTTACAGAGTCACCACTTTGCATCTATCTAGCCCTACTGTGTGCCTGGCACTACCCAAAGGATTCAGTGTATTTATTTCATTCTCTCAATAACCCTCTTGAGCTGCATTCTATTCTTATTTCCATATTCTGTATGAGGAATATGAATCTCAGAGAGGTTAAGTAACTTACCTAGAGTCTCCCAGCTGGTGAGTGGTGAAGCTCAGATTTGAACCCTGGCAGCCTGACCTTTTCAGAACCAGGCTGTACTATATTACAAAAGGGTGTCAATACATATTAGATACTGTTAACATGGTTATCTTGATTTTTGATTTACTTATTTTTAAAAATTTTGACCAAGCCACATGGCTTGCAGGATCTTTGTTCCCTGAACAAAGGTCGAACCTGTGCTGTGCCCTTGGCAGTGAAAGTGCTGAGTCCTAGCCATGGACTGCCAGGGAATTCCCCATGGTTATCTTGAGAAAAAAAGTTTTTGTAACTGTGGTAAAATATTTCTAACATTGTGGTTAAGATTGATCGTTGAAACCATCTTTGAAGTGTACAGTTCAATGGCGTTAAATACTTCCACATTGTTGTATGACCATCAGCACCATCCATCTCTAGAACTTTCTCATCTTGCAAAATGAAAACTCTATACCCATTACAATTGTGGTTGTTCCTGCTATTGTTGTTGCTGTTGTTTTCTGTCCTCTGGAAATCCTGAGCCCTTCAGCATCTCAGTTAGGCTGGAGTCCTGCTGCCAGGCTCCAGGCAGTGTACCACCGCCCCCCGCCCCCGCCCCCCCATTTCCTCAGCTCCCACCGCTGGTGCCATCCAGGGCCTGAGGGTGGACTCTGCTGGAGTGCTGGGGGTGTCTGGGAGCCCAGTGACTTTGTCTCTTCTGTTGTGAGTTTCCACGTTGCTGAGGCCATGGAGACTCCCAGAGCAGGTCATGCCGATGTCTCCTAGGCCCACTTCCCTGGGCCAGCAGAAGGTTTCAGTGTCTTCACTGGCCATGGAGGGAGGAGGGAAGAGGGAACAGTCTTTGCTCAGCAGCTCCCTTTCCTGGGTATGATGTATTCAGTGGAAGAGCCAAGATGGTGAAGGTTCCTTTTGCCTTGACATAGAGAAATCCCCCTTCTGCTTGTGTCTATGACTTGGGCACAAGCTTCCAGACACCTAGAACTGAGCCACGCACCCCTGAACCCTAAACAGTGGGTTTTAAGCTCCAGTATGTGCTCCATTTCTCTGTTTTAGATCATCACAGAAGCTGCATCTACAGCTCAGATCCGGCCCACTGAGGACCTCTTCTTAGCCCCAAGCCCATGGTGCTCTGTCTGTGATCAGGTGACCTTACTCGGGAGCAGATGTCTCCCTGGCCTTCTTGGTACCTTTTCCAGCCACATGTGCCTGAAACATTCCAGAGCTCACTGGCTCTGCTAGCTGTGCCTTCCTGCTTGGCCTCCCACTGCTTCTCCAGATGTGGGAAGGACCTGAAGACGGCCCCACACCATCTTCTGCTCCCTTCCAGGACCCGGGCTGTGGGTAAGGCCATCTGAAGTTGGCCTGGAACTTTGAGTTCTGGACGCAGCCTCCTTGGCCTCCCTCTTTGGACTCCAGGACTCTATCCAATCTGAGTTTGCTATGGGCTGCCCCGAGCCCAGAAGTCTGGGACCACTTACAGGCCCAGGAGAGGATTTCTCCAGTGTTCTGCGAAGGCCAAAAGAGAGGGTGGGTGAGGAAGGGTAGGGAGGGGGGACCGAAGTGCCTCATTCAGTAGTTTAGTGGTAATGACCGATACGCTTTTCTGAATAAACTTTGGTTTGTCTGATCTGAGTGTATGTGTCTTCTCTTCTGCCCATTCTGTGCCAGGTCCCCGAACCTCCCTCCATCATCACATTTTGCCACACTTGTCTGCCTCCTTTCTGCTTTCCTGGCCTCCCCTTCTTTCTGGGAGGGAAAGAAAAAATGAGGTCATAGGTTTCCAGTTAAGGCAGGACACAGGAATCAGAGGAATAAAACAGTCTACGTCTGTCCCTGATTGAGGCTGGAGGGAATTCCAGAAGCTCCTGCCCTGGCTCTCAATGGGCCCTCTGTTTGGGAAGCTCCACTGCCTGATGGACAGGCATGGAATGACTATGGTGACGGAGCCAGAGGACCCTGTTCTAGTGCAAACACATCATTTTACAGAAGGGGGAAATGAACTCCAGGTGGAGTGGCAACTTGCCTAACATCACAGAGCTGACTGGGGCCACAGCGAGGTCTCCTAGAGCCCAGGCTCTGGGCGTTTCCTGCAGGCCACTATGCCTGGTCTGGTGTTGCCTCCTGGACACACCCAGTCTGGTCCCCAGCCTCTGCTTTCCAGCCACAGCCTGCTGACTGAGGTGCCCTGGAAAGGGCTGGAGGCTAGTTAACAGACTTCCTTGTTGGCGCCTTCCTTCTCTGCCCTGGGCTTGAAGTCTGTTGCCTGGACATAGAGTTCTATTGGCAGAACCACCTAGAACAGCTCCAGGCAGAGATTGGATACTGTGTGTGCTTCCACACACACTCTCTTCCGAAGCACCCACCTTAATATGCAGCACAATCTGACTCTTTCTGATTCTCTCTTTCCCCCTCCGCTCCATGGTTTGGATTTCCAGGTGGAGGAAAATGCTACCGGTTGCCCAGGATCTTCCTTTTCTCCCCTCTTCCCTCTGTGTTTATTCATGAATATCACGAAAATAAAAAGTGGCCTGTGTGCAAAGGCAGGTAATCCCCTGCTCTACTTTAGCTTGGTGGAGCATTTGCAGTTGAAAATGTGTTTTTACTTGCATTACCTTACTTGATCTTGTCACCAGTCTAGAGGTTGGCATTGCCTGTTCAATAGAAGCAATAGAGTCCCAGAGAGAAGGGCCTTATCTATGGCCACTGCTGCTGCTGCTGCTGCTAAGTCGCTTCAGTCGTGTCCAACTCTGTGCAACCCCATAGACAGCAGCCCACCAGGCTCCTCCGTCCATGGGATTTTCCAGGCAAAGGTACTGGAGTTGGTTGCCATTGCCTTCTCCGATCTATGGCCACACAGCTGGCAAATGGCAAGACTGAGCCTGGAAGGTAGATGTTGTTTTACCACCCTCTTCAGGCAGCCAGTTGCTAAGCCCCGTGGGCCTCTGGCAGGCTCTGAGGTTGAGGGGGAGTTTGGTTTTTGCTTGTGGAGAACAGGTGTGCAGGAATGGCCTAATCTGATATTTCCTGTTTAATGCCAGGGGCACTTTTAAATAAGACACTGCTCCTTGGAAACTTAATTGAGCCTGTTTGGGTCTGGGGAATCTGAGGGATCTGTTCATTTCTATTATTTTTCCAACTTTTCTAGGGATAGGGAGTGGGATGGCCAGTGGTGAGGAAGAATTAAGAATTTCTTTTCAAAAATAAAAATAAAAAGTTTCTTTCCAGACATAAAAGGAAAGAGCAGGGATATGAGAGAAAAGTCTTGTTAGCAGTGTTTGTATTTTCATTGTTTTTGTTTGTTACAATTGCTATTTGTAGAATAAAATACTAATACACACCTGTTTTTTTAAGTATACAAAGTAAATGAAGTCATTCAATCATCCTAATCTCATATCTGAGAGATAAGCTACTGTTCACTATTAAACCTTCTTCCTTAATTTTTATAACTAATCAAACATATGGATGCTTACTCACATACGCACGCACGCACACACACACACACACACACACACACATTTAGACTCTTCCACAGCTTGCTTTAAAAATTAAACAATAAAAAAGTTCTAACCCTTTCTACACATTCTGTAAATATAGTAATATAGCTCTGTGCATGTGCTAAGTCGCTTTGGTCATGTCTGACTCTTTCTGACCCCATGGACTGTATCCCACCAGGCTCCTCTGTCCATGGATTCTCCAGGCAAGAACACAGGAGTGGCTTGCCCTGCCCTCCTTCAGGGGATCTTCCCGACCCAGGGATTGAACCCGTGTCTCTTACAACTCCATTGGCAGGCGGGTTCTTTACCACTAGTGCTGCCTGAGAAGCCCTAGCCCTTTTAAAATGTTTATATAAATAGTCAGAAACTGCAAGAATTTTGGGGGCTTTCAGGATCCTTTGTAACATTCTAATATTGGCTATTGCTTCTCAGCTTTTTGTCTAAGATCAAGTGTAGCATCTAATTTGGCTAACTCTGTTACCGCCTAGGCTGCTTTCCATGGATATCATAGTAAAAACTGGTCCTTTTGTTTTTTTTCAAACTGATGAAAAATTAGAAACTTGGGAGGGACGTGATTTGCCCACCTCTGTGTTCCTTTGCCCAGAGTGCCATGAGTAGCAAGGAGGGGAGAGAGCAGAGGGGTGGCTGTATTCCACTTCAGGCCAGACTTGGGGAGGGGAGCACCAGGGACTAGGGTGAGTAGGGGCAGCTGAAGAGAGGCGAGCGGGGCCTGACCCTCTCTGGAGCCTACATGGCAAAGGGGAGGTGTGCTGGGGAGGTGGCCAGAACCTCAGGGGAGCACTCTGGCAACAGCCCGCAGGACGGTGTGGGCCTCCACACCAACCTCATCCGCCTGTGGAAATTCCAGTAAACCCTTTTGCCCTCCCTGTTCCATGACCCCAGTTCTTTTTGAACTGGGGGCTATTTGGGATCTTGTAGGCACCAAGGCTGTAATTTCCTTCCCCAGCACTGCGGTGAGGGCCAGCTCCCAGAGGCAGTCCCTCTGCCCCTTGATGCTAGCATGGTGGGGCAGAGGGGAGGGATGGGTGTGCAGACTGTTCTTGCTGCCATCTCCAGGAGTCCAGAAGGGGGTTCTCTGATGTCCCAGGTAGATCACTTCTGAGAAAGATGAGAAGGAGAAAGAAAGTGAACTAACTTTACCAAGTGTTTGCAATGAGCCAAGAACGGGCTGGAGAAGGGATAGGCTTCCCACTCCAGTATTCTTGGGCAGCCCTTGCGACTCAGCTGGTAAAGAATCTGCATGCAATGTGGGTGTCCTGGGTTCAATCCCTGGGTTGGGAAGATCCCTGGAGAAGGGAAAGGCTACCCACTCCAGTATTCTGACCTGGAAAATTCCATGGAATAGTCCATGGGGTCACAAAGAGTCAGACAGGTCTGAGTGCCTTTCACTTTCACTTTTTAAGAACATGTTGGATGCCTCATGTAACATGCTTACCATTCTCACCAGTCCGTGTGGTATTAAAAGCTCCCATTTAACAGACATGGAGACAAGCTCAGAAGGGTAAACTGATTTCCCCAAGGCACTTGACTAAGTAACAGAAACAAGATGCAAACTCAGATCTAAGCTACCATGCTCTGCTGTTTCAGAGGATTTCCCAGCAGACTGTTTCTCCTGGCCATCCAAAGACTTCACCCAGAGCAGCATTAGCTTTTGTAATAGTTCTATCTTCAGCTAAGGCAGGAAGGAAAGCTATATTATTACAGACCTGAATTATCTCAGCTTCTCTCTTCCTGCTTTAAAATGAAGTTGGATAATGGCCTTCAGGTTTGATCAGCTCACTGGGCTGAGGTCACTCTCCTAAGGCCCTGGAGACAGTCCTGTCTGTCAGACAGATGTCAGAATCATTTGTAAAACTGCTCCTCCACCCAGCCCTTCTCCCTCTCAAAACCTTGTGCCATAGGTCTGATCATCTGACCTGACCCTGAACTTTTGGATACCGAACTCCATCTTTTACAATCTTGTCCTGTATTCTGGGTTGGAATTCACAATCTCACCAGCCATAGATTGAATCCTCTACCTGTTTTTTTCCTGTGTCCAGATTTAAGTTTTCTTGAAAAGATGGCAGTGAAGTATTAAAAAATTATTGCTACTTTCTTGAAGGTCAGGGCTGCCTCTTTCCTATGGAATCTGAGATCCTTCTTGCTCTCCTTTTAATTCCTTTTGGCAGTCTCCTGGCTGAGCCTCTGTGCTGCAAGCAGTTCTGACTCCTCAGCCTGAAAGGACTCACTGTTTTCATCTTGTTTTCTGGGGTTCCAGTCCATCTGGAGAGACAAACTGACCATGAGTTTTCAGGTGTCAGGAGTGGGCCATTCACAGACATTCTCCTCGTTACGTGTCTGCGGGATCTTCGATGACTGCATTCAAGTCAAAATTAGCCCAGGAACATGGGGCGTTTCCTGCGACAGTTACCTGCTTGACTTTCTTAGCCATTGTGTACCTGGGCACTTCACAACGTTTCCTCACATCCTGGTGACCTCCGCTGTATTTTTCAGCTTGTTTCTATCTCCTCCCAGCCATCCCTAGGAATTAGTGAACTTGCTGAGTTTGTTTTTCCTTTTAAGTTAAACTGATGAACTCCATCAGTGATCTTAAGATAGTGGGCCAGAAGACTGAGGTGGTGGGGTCTTTTTTTGTAGTGACTGTGATAGTGATAATAAAAATGATGATATTGTTACTGATAATGGCATTAATAGTAATAAAGATGACACATGTCCCAATCACTTGTGTTTACAGTTAGCAAAGACATTTTTACATTATTTATATCATCTTCATACGAAAAGATAGCATAGATAATAACCACATTTTGTAGATGAGGCTCAGAGAGGTAAAGTGGTTGCCTATATGTATATATTTATGGCTTCCCAGGTGGTGCTAGTGGTAAAGATCCCACCTGCCAGTGTGGAAGACAGAAGAGATGTGAGTTTGATCCCTGGGTGGGAAAGATCCCCTGAAGAAGGGCATGGCAACCCACTCCAGTATTCTTACCTGGAGAATTCCATGGACAGAGGAGCCTGGCAGGCTACAATCCATGTAGTCACAAAAGTGTGGAACATGACATAAGTGACTTAGCACACGCACACACACACACGTGTGTGTGTATATATATATATGCACACACATATGCACACAGATTTATTAGGGAATACTTGTACATTAAACTGTACATGGTTTTAATGTACATTTTGGGGAGTTTTGACATGTGTATTCTTGTGAAGCCTTCACAATTAAGGCTATGAACATATCCATAGTGCCCCAAAGCTTTTTTTTTTTTTTTTTCATTTATTTTTCCCCAAAGCTTTTTTGTGTCCCCTTGTAATATCTTTTTCTCTTTCCCATCTCCCCACCCCATGCAACTACTGATCTGTGTCCTGTGACGGTAGATTAGTTTATATAAGTGGAGTGTACAATATGCACTTTTTCTTTCCCGGTGGAGGGGGCAGTCTGACCTCTTATATTCCATCATTTTGAGATTCATTCATGTTACTGTTGTAATAATAGTTCATTTATTTTTAGCTACCAGTGAGTATTATTCCATTGTATGGATATACTATAATTTGCTTATCCATTCACCTGTTGATGGATATTTACGTTGTTTCAAGTTTTTACTTGGTTATTACAGATAAAGCTATTGTGAACATTCATGCACAAATATTTGTGTGGACATATGCTTTCATTTGTCTTTGGTAGATTCCTAGCAGTGGAATGGCTCAGCTGTGTTGTAGGTGTATTTTTGTTGTTGTTGTTATTTTTATTGGTCATGTTCCAGGTGTAATTTGTCTATTTGTGTGTATGTGCTCTTGCCTGACATTTGTATCAGGGATGGTCATTCTAGATTCAGAATAAATCGGAAAGTTTTCTGTCTTGTTCTGTTTTCCAGAATAGTTTATATAATTTTACTGATAGGTTTAATAAAATTGTCTACAAATTAACCTGAACCTGATGCCTTTTAGAAAGCTTTGGGGTTTTTTTGTTGTTTATTTTTGACTGAGGTGCATGGCTTGCAGGATCTCAGTTCCCCAACTGGGGATTGAAAGCCTGGAATTCTAATCACTAGGAAACCAGAGAAATCCTGTTGAGGAAGTTCTTGGTTAATTTTCTCAAAGTCATAATGGTAGCTGGTCTTTGCAGGTTTTTTTGTGGGTTATCTACTGCTCTTCCATTGGTGGCATTTTAATTTAAGTTGTCTCTCCCACTAATTCTCTCATCTAATTCTCCAATTTACTGATAAAATGAGAACTTTTTGAGGGAAGAACTCTAGGCTATTCTTTTCTATATTCCCATGAAAGGCACATAATAAGTGGTCATTTGGTTGAATGAATGAATATTGGTTTTAAGTTGCTGTAACAAACACACCTCAACATTTCAGTGTCTAAACTATAATAAAAGTTTATTTACTGTTCACATATAATTCTATTTCTTCCTCACCTAGCTGTCCATTGTGGATATTTCAGGCCAGTGGGAGGTTTCCACCATGCGAGGATTCAAGGATAAGGCTCCTCCCACTTTGTGGCCCAGCCATCACTTCTGCATTGAGCTGGCATTTGGGAGATTTCTGAATTTACTAGAAGTGGCATTTATCACTACACTCTTCTTTTGGGGAGTCACGTGACCTAATCTATATGTAAGGGGGTTGGAAATGTAGTTCCTCTTGAGGCATCAGCTTCTCAGCTCCAACTCTATACCCTGGAAGAGGGAAAGGGACTTTTGGGTGGACAGTCCACAGGTTTTATTGCTGAGGGTTTCACTGCCTTGCTCTGTGAGACTTTTTTGTGCCCGTGTTTGATGAATGGTTGTTTTCATGGCTGCCAAGAGCTGTTGAATAAGAGTGTAACAGCAGACATTCATTTCCTTGCTCTGTTTGTCTGACAACTCACTGTGTCACAGCTGGAAAACTCATTACTCACGAGGACTTCTTTCCCAGGTACAAGAACATAAAGATATATTTATTGAACAGTTTTCAGAGTAATGGCAGTGAGCTATTAATCCAAAAATATACCCAAATAATAAGTTTAAATACTAGATAAAATCCAAATAGTAAAGAGAATCTAAAAATACATACCAGTCAAATATTTCTTTCCTTTATTTGTTTATTTAAAAATTGAAACAGTTCCTTTAAGATAAAATTTCACAAAGAAATTGTCCATATTAGAGTGTACAATTCAGTGGTTTTAGTATACTCACTAAGTTGTGCAACTGTTACCACTACTCAGTTTCAAAACATTTCCATCACCATCACCTCAAAAAGAAACACTGTACCAATTCCTTCCTCCACCAATTCCTTCCACCCAGTTCCTTCTGCCCAGTCACTGGTAACCTCTAATCTATCTACTTCCTGTCTCTATGGATTCTCCTATTCTAGACATTTCATATAAATGGAATTAAAGA